GGTACCATCTTCTATCAGTAGGTTGGCTACCATGACCCTCCAACTACCCCAAAATCTAAGTTTTGGTTTGTTGTCATGGTCATAGATAAAACTAAGGGGCCAATAGTAGAGATGGGCCCCCAGAACCACCTCCATTAATAGATAGGAGAGTGGAAAGGGTCATACCCACGTGACTGGACAATTGCCTTTTAGACTATATTCGCTTATATTCCACTGTGATGTGTGCTTTGTTATTCTATAATAGATCTTTCTGAGGGTAAGCCACATGAAGTATTCTCTTACGAGTCTCGACTACGGCTACAGGACTTTCTTTATCAACCCACCTGCCCCCCCCCCCCCCCGCTTCACTGTTGATAAGAAGATAAATAAGTCTCGGCGTTACTTTGTTACTATTGACTACCAAAATATTATTTCCACCGAATGGAACAAAATTTCCGGACCGACGCAGAAATATCAGGGCGGTGTCGCACCCCCTACACCCACCCTGAATCTATCCCTGCCATAAGATGTAGTTTGTGAAACCACAATGTTCACAAAATAGCTTGCAAAGTTGCATGAAGACCTGATAGATTTCACAAAGAGGAGGGTACATTCTTCGCAAAAGTGCTCGGCAAAAAGCACGTCGCCAAAGATGGATGAATCAGTTTGTTTCTGAAACAAGAACTTATAATGTAATAAGGCCAGAAGGCTTGCTTGCATTGGAAAATGTCATGAGAAACAAGCTTTTCGCTTTCACATTCAACAGACAGAAGAAGCTTTGCTCCAATCCCTCTCTAAAACAAGAGACTGAAAAATTTCCAATTACTGCACGATTTATGCATTTAGTTCGGCACATGAAAAATAAAGCGTCTGAATTAGAACTGTACTTATGTCGAATAATGCGACAGACTGTATCGAAATAAATAGTTGCGTCGAATAAAATGGAAAGTGCTGTACCAAATTTATTCAAACACCGTATTTATCATGTACTTAAACGGGTCTATTTAATAGGGCACATGAATGATAGGTCGTCTGAGCTAGGCCTTATACAACAGATTTCTTGGGGAGACCCACAACAGAAAGTCTTTAAATTAGTAAGGCAACCCTCCGTCCTGGAGTCAAAGCGCAGGGGCATGGAACAGGATACTTACTACGCATGCTCATCGACTACAGGTAGGTGGGTTGTCTCACATTTGAATATTTTCGCTCGTTCTTTTTCGAAACAAAGATGCTCTGAAGAAGATAAAAATGATTAGACTGAGAAATAACTCACAACAATAATCCGTAGCCAGATAAGAGGTCTTGACATAAATATTGTTGCCTGGGCAACAGGATGCTTTAGTGCGATCACAGCATGACTTGCTTGATTGTACGTTCACACGTTGACTGGAATACAAACCAACTGGAGCACAGGCAGCAGTTAAATTGAATTGAGGGCCTCTCATGTGGTCCTCCAAAGCAGCAGCACAGTTACTTAGCCTCACAAGGGTCATGTTTTGTATGGCAACCAATGATGCAAACGAGACTTTTATTTTCGACGTTATTCCAAGAAGGCCAAATGCTGTAACACTTAAATCATCCCTTGATATCTGCATATCTGCACATGCTGGCAATGACCGCCCCTTCAGGTAGGTGATCAGCAAATCGGAGACATTTGTCCAGACGGCCATAGACGATCCAGGTCTAGCATCGGAACTGTATTCGCAAAGTGCACCAAACTTATAGCAAACATCGACAAACACTTTTGCTGCAAATTTAAAATAAGAAGCTGATACAAAGAGTAAAATGAATATAAATGTTTATTTCTGTAAGAATTTGGATAATAAAAGCTAAATGGTAGCGTTGAGCGGCATAGCATGTCCTGAAAGCTATTACCGGCATACATAACTTATTGTAACATAACTTATTTTACAGGGCAGATAGAGATCATAAATCAGACTCGCACTGAAAAACATACGCTTTTAACAACACGAGTGACGCAAACAAAACCCTAAGGACAAAAATTAACGGCAAATGACTAATAACAACTAAAATAGCGATGGCACAATGAAAAACAAAATGGACTGACGCAAACATCGAAAGAAATTCTCATTAACAATAACGAACCACAAACACGATGCACGACAGACAACACTACAGTATAACCCCGTTAAGTCGGACTCTCAGGGGACCCAAAAAATTCGTCTGACTTAACTGGGGCCTGACCTATCCGAACTCTAATTATTTAGTCTGACTTATCGGGACTATTCAAAAAAAGGGAGAAAGGAAATAGAACGCAAAATATGTATAAACCTTTCTTTTAGTTCACATTAACAAAATTAGTAATTTTTTTGCTTTTTGCATTTCAAGTTTTCATACTCCACTATTCGTGAAGAGGGAATAGTCCATAAGTGTTTCAATTGCTCGAAAAACTTCCTGACTACTAGGCTTGATTGGTATGTCGTCACTCCTTTCTGTGATTTCAACATCATAATTCTCATTCTCATCTAGTTTGCAGCTTCCGCTTTGACGCCGTTTTTAAAAATGAGTTTAAATTTGAACACCAATACAATGCAGATTCAAACGGTCGAAGTTTTGACTTTCAAAATTCAAGAGAGTCTGACCCAAACGGTGCTTTGTACCTGAATGGGGCAGGAGAAAATAGTCCGACTTAACGAAAAATCCGACTTAAACGGTGTCCGACTTAAGCGGACCATTTCGGCTTGAAGTTGGTTATCACAGTCTGAAGTGAACGTGTTTTTCGGAGCAGCTTTTATCAAAGAGTTTCACGTTTGCCCTTAGGGACTAAGAACTACGGCTAAGCACGGTAAGAATATGGCAAAAAGTAAAAAGTTACCGATTAAAATCGATCTGGAGAAATACGGGAAAACTAGCAATGAGGATACAAATCTTGCGAAATCAAGAAGCCATCAATAAAAGGCATGACAGTATCGAGAACGACTTTGTTAATCTTCGCGACGAATTGGCAGATATCCGAAGGAAAGAAGAGGAAAATTCTGTCGATATTGATGGATTGAAGGTTGCCATGGACTGGAAATTTAATTGTATAAAAAACATTCAATTTGAGCAGTTACGCCAGGAGCAATACAGAAGAAAATCTTCATTTATAGTTCACGGTGTAACTGAAGAAGAGCAGGAGAGTCTGGAAGAAAAAACGATTCGTGTCTTGGCGAATGAGATTGGGGTACGCGTCGATAAAGAGGAAATCGACATTGTCCATCGGACGACGGTCTGATGGTAAGCCAAGGGCTATTTTGGTTAAATGTTTAACGCACAAAACTAAAGTACGAGTCCTGAAGGAAAAGAAAAAGGCGAAAAGTATTTCTCTTTCCGAAGGCCTCGCCGGTGGTATGCACCAGGTGTTAAAGGATCTGATTTCGCGTAAGAGTGAACTTAGAAATGAGTCAATTTGGACCATAGATGGAAAAATTAAATATAAACGACTAAACACGGATAGAATTAATGTTATTAACAGTCACGACAATGTTGTTAAAGCTTTCAGTAAGCCAAGAAGTGGCTAGGATCTAGCCAAGATGGCTTTGTGCTTCCCGATCATAAATTTCGTTCGAAGCCTATTGCTAATTATTTAACGTCACTCAACGTTTATCCAGTATGTAAAATTTTTAACGCCCCGTTGACAAACCAAGATCTAAAATTTGCGTTTGGAAAATAAATGGCCTCACACATGAAAAAATGGAAGTAGTACGTTCTAAGAGTAATAGCTTTTTGAACAAAATATTTTCTGATAATCACATCAATTGTCTAACTGAAACTTGGCGCGACAAACACGATAGGGACGTATTTGACTTGGACAGTGACTTCCGTGAATTTCATCACCTTGGTGCATGTAATAGCCAACGTGGTAGATCCTCAGGAGGTATAAGCGTATTTGTACGATTTGAATTGATCAGGTACTTTCACATTTTAGAGTCAAATTTTTTCAGGACATGGTGCAAATTAGACAAGGCTTGTTGTGATTCCGACCAGGATATCATGCTATGTTTCTTTTATATACCTTCTGCGGACTCTAATTGATTTAAAACTGGGCGCTCCACAAATTTTGACTCTCTACAAGAGGAATGCGCCCGTTATAAAGAATTTGGCGCTTGCTTAGTAAGTTTGTTTAGTAGTTATAGGTGATATGAATGCATGAACAAGTAACGCTAAAGCCTGGTACTCACTAGACGATTATCACGATTATCACGATAACGATTAGGCTGTAATCGTCTTTATCCACAGTGAGTACATCAAATGTAATCGTGTTATGCCCTCTAAAGCCTGGTACTCACTGGACGATTATCACGATTATCACGATTACCACGATAACGATTATCACGATTAAATATTTCTTGACATGTACTCACTGACACGTTAATCGTAAACTCAAAATGGCTGTTCACAGGAATAAAAAAACTCCTTGCAATGATGAGCGTTGTATACATCTTAAGAAAACGTAGAAAGAGAAGAGAATAGAAAAAAGATCGAGAGAAAAAGAAGAGAAGGTTCTGAGTCAGAGATATTTTCAAAAACAAAACGTCTAGTAAATATCATGGATTGGTTCAAGAACTACGACTGAACGACCGCGAATTTCATTACAGATATCATCGGATATCAAAAGAAAGGTTTGATCATTTGTACAGCCTCCTAGAAAAAACTATAGAGAAAAAAGATACAAATTTTCGTAAATCGATTCCAGCCCGTCAACGGTTGGTTATTACACTGAGATACCTGGCAACTGGTAGCTCCCAGCAAACGCCCAGTTACTCCTTTCGAGTTGCCTGTATAACAGTTAGCAACATAATTAAAAAGGTTTGTGAGGCAATTTATGATGTTCTTACTCCAATCTATCTTAAACCACCAACGTCTGCCGATGAATGGAAACGCATTCGTAATGATTTTGAATCCCTCTGGAACACGTCACACGTTATTGGAGTTATTGATGGAAAGCACATAGCCATAGACTGTCCAAAACGTACTGGGTCTCAATATTATAATTACAAGGGATTTTTCAGCATAGTTTTACTAGCTATCTGCGATGCAAGGTATACTTTTACAATGGTAGATGTAGGTCAGTATGGCAACAACAACGACAGTGAAGTTTTGTTGAATTCAGAGATGGGACAGCGTTTTGAGGAGGATTCTTTGTAAATTCCCTCTGCTGAACAAGTACAAGGAGGCCAGTTAGAGAAAATACCGTACTATCTAACTGGAGACGACATCTTTCCTCTTTAGTGTTGGTTGATGCGCCCATACCCTGGAAGACTTAGCGAGGAACAACGAATTTACAACTACAGATTGTCAAGAGCAAGCAGGGTGATAGAGAATACATTCGGAATATTAGTAGCACGTTTGATTTAGATTTTTTGCTGTAAAATAGCTTTTTTATATTGCGTATATTTAATATTTTTTTGTACTTTCGTAATTAAAAAATTGTATTATTTAAAATGAGTAGATATTAACGTTTGACAAGTTGTTGTAGCAGTAATTATATTGACTTTTATTGTTATTTTTCTGTTTTAATTAGGTTAAAGGTCATCTTGGCCTAGATACCTTTTTAATAAAAAAAAATATTGAAATAGGTAGGATAATCCAAGGAAGATAAGTTTTTAGTCCGACTTTAAGAAAAGTCCGACTTAAACTGTGTCCGACTTAACGGGGCTATGTTATACTGTAGTTGTATAACAATATGAAGAGGTAGCAACAAATATTTCTATTAGAAAATAATAGGTAAGTACTCTGCAAAAACTTGAGAGTACTGAAAATATGACATCAAAGGAAATTTTCAAATTTGACTATATAGCCGGAAAAGCATTTTGAAATGCCTCAAATGTGTAAAATGAGTTGAATACTATGATATGACCACATAAGCACATAATTTGCTGTGATATGACCACATAAGCACATAATTTGCTGTGATATGACCACATAAGCACATAATTTGCTGTGATATGACCAAATAAGCACATAATTTGCTGTGATATGACCAAATAAGCACATAATTTGCTGTGATATGACCACATAAGCACATAATTTGCTGTGATATGACCAAATAAGCACATAATTTGCTGTGATATGACCAAATAAGCACATAATTTGCTGTGATATGACCACATAATCACATAATTTGCTGTGATATGACCACATAAGCACATAATTTGCAGTGATATGACCACATAAGCACATAATTTGCTGTGATATGACCACATAAGCACATATTTGCTGTGATATGACCAAATAAGCACATAATTTGCTGTGATATGACCACATAAGCACATAATTTGCTGTGATATGACCACATAAGCACATAATTTGCTGTGATATGACCAAATAAGCACATAATTTGCTGTGATATGACCACATAAGCACATAATTTGCTGTGATATGACCACATAAGCACATAATTTGCTGTGATATGACCACATAAGCACATAATTTGCTGTGATATGACCACATAAGCACATAATTTGCTGTGATATGACCACATAAGCACATAATTTGCTGTGATATGACCACATAAGCACATAATTTGCTGTGATGTGACCACATAAGCACATAATTTGCTGTGATATGACCACATAAGCACATAATTTGCTGTGATATGACCACATAATCACTTTCCCAACCAAACCACGGTCATTTTGTCTTGGTTCATAACTTTATGAGCCAGGCCAGAAAAGCAGTAATCTGTTGGAAACTTTTACATCTTTCATTGACCATATCTTGACAAAATTCGAACATGTCTAGCGAATTTCGCATGTTGAGAGGTATTTTTCATGCTATGGGGTCGAGATTAAAAAATTCTAAAATGGTTTTTGTTGAAGTTACTCTTTGTAAACTTACGTGCACAACCAGGTGACTGAGTCCAATTTCCGCCAGGACAGTAAAAGGTTGGTGACGTCACGGTGACGGTCTTATCTGCAATTGTGTAGTTCGTATTGCAAGAAATATTGCAGGATGTTAGGGGCGAATTGACATGACAAGACGCAACACCATTTTCCGGCTGAATATTGCATGTTCTGTTGTTCGGACAGCCACATCCTAAACAAAAGTGTAGACATTCAATGTTTACTTGTAAATATTTACAATGTTTACAGAAAAACTACAAAGCTTGGACAGACTTAAAGGAGAGCTGACACGCAAAAATAACTTTAGCTTATTCTATGCAAAATTTGTCACTGATTTCAAATCTGGAAAAATTTTTCTTCTTAATTTCGCCGTTTTCCTGATATTTGCACTTTTATCCGTCAATTACGTCACAGCCAGGACTCGGGAATTTCCCGAAGCGGAAACCAGATTATCGCCAGGAGTTGTTAAAATTCTCGGTTGACATCACAAGTGATATGTTAACAATGCCGTTGTAAAGGCTTTCACCGCAACGGTGAAAGTCAAATGAAGTCTCGTGTTTTATTGAATATAGTCCGCGATGAAAAGGCAAAAATTTGTCAGGCATTTCATTAATAAATATAAAGAAGCTAGAAAATCTTAGCTACATGTCTGCTAGGACGCTAATATCCACATAAAATTTATTTTTATGCCATGATATCTTCGAACCAGCAAGCTTTGAAACATTGAAAGAACCTCTAAGGTTATGAAAAAAGGAGGCGACTTTCTTTGAAAACTGATGATACCGTTTCTTCTAAGTTTTTACTTTTATAATTACAAATAAAATCGCAACATGGGGGAAGGGGGGATGTAATAGGAATATCCTCCTTTTCAGTATTAACCTCGTTATCATGTTACTTATGACGCACTTAACTGAAGGATATATATTTCAGCACGTAGCTAGTTATAGGACTTTTGATTTCGATGATGAAGCAGAAAACATAAACGAAGTTCGTTTCTCTTCGTCTCACTTCTTCGATAAAGATCCCTTCCAAAATTGGTGTTGGACCCGGTTCTCCATTTATGGATAAATAACCGTCAGTCATGTCCACTATCGAAGAAGTTGTTGGTCTTGTTGGTGGTCTTGCCGAAGTGGTGAAATCCCAACAACATACCACAAAAGAAATCACTGCCGAAACGCAACGACAGTTACAAAGCCTCTCGCAAGCTGTTGCTGACCTGTCTCTCTCCGTTCGTCCACAAAACTCAAGCAGCTCTACACTACGTCTCCCACAATTAATTCTACCTGAGTTTACAGGCAGGGAACCTCTAGATCGTTTCATAGAGCAGCTCACATACATTCTTTCCTCCTCTGGTGTTTCTCCAAAATTTTGGTTGACTTATTTAAAGCAACAATGTCAAAAAGACGCCAGAGCTTTCGACATCGTCTGCAAATTCGAGTCCGAAAAAGCTATTCAATTTTCTTCTACACGGACTTCAGACGAATTCATGACTCTTTACGATCAATGTTTGGCCACTCTTACAGCCCACCGTGGTGTACCCAAAGAACAACGTATCCGAGAACTTCTGGCCACGTACTACGCCATGCACCAGAATCCTGGCGAGTCTGTTTCCGATTTCGCACACCGTTTTCTGGAACCCAACACTCCCTCGAAAGGCTCATTCCTGGTATCCATCGTTCTTCCAGCCCACACACTGGTGACATGGAACTCATTCATGCCTTCATGATGAAACTTTCTCCTATTTTGTCCAAGGAACTTCTCAGTCGTGATTCTCCTTTTTCCAATCTGACTGCTACCATCGAAGCTGCAAAACGATATGAGTCAGTTCAGCACGTCCTTTCACCTCGAGACACGCCCACTCCATGGAAGCCGGAATCTCTCCTTACCACTACTACGCAATCAGCTTCTCCAGTCCAGCAAAACGTAAATTCTGGACACTCAGGTACAAAAATTTGCTGGTACTTTAATAAATTTCATAAAGCTCATTGTGAATTACCTAATAACCGATGTAAGTTTGGCTTTATTCATAAATGCGTGCAATGTTCTAAGACTAATTGTAAGAAATTCTTACATAATTTTCACGATTCCACACGTAACAGGCCTTCTCGTGGCCAGAATCACGTACAGCCACGAGGCACCTTTAAACGTAATGCACATGATACTCGTACTTCTCCTCCTGAGTCTCGATATTCTGTATCACCTCGAATTCATAGCAATTATGCACATATTAACATAGATCATGATGCCTTTATCGTTGATACAGTAAAGAAAGTATTCAATGATTCTATTGTATCTTTAAAACAGGATCTCTCTGCTAGTATTGCACAGGAGGTAGAAAAACGTCTCCCCTTTTCAACTTCCACCCACCTCCCCGAGGCTACGCCGCAAGATCCACTTTATGGTATGCCTGCCGTAACCGCCCTTACAAGTAATCTTACATTTTCGGCCCTTCGTCTTGCGGATAAAAACATCTTGTGGACTAGGTACTTCTGCAGGGGTTTCTCCTACCCAGTTGCTTTAGATAGTTGCTGCTCGGTGTCCACTAGTAAGTAAAACATGCTGCGCACTGTAGCCTCAGCATCCAATCTCAAATTCACTAAACTTGAGCAGCACGTCCCCGTTTCGGCAGCTGGGCCTACCTCCAATCTACATGCTGTAGGTATAATGGAAGTCCCTGTTGTATGGGAAAATGGTCGATCAGTTATATTTACAATGCTTGTTGTTCCTAATTTGACATGGCCTATTTTGTTCGGGCAGAATCACTTACGCAAGACAGATGCTCGAATTTACAGCAAAGATCTCAAGGTGTACTTTGCTGATTCTGCCATGAATTTCGAAATTTCATGTTACGATTCCAATCCGTTATTGGTATTTTCTAGTATGCAATGTCAAGGTAGTATACCCCCTGCTTCCAGCGCAAATATCACATGCTTAGCAACATCACTACCTAAATCTTCCGGGGGTACCCAACAGGTTTTGCTCCGTAAGGGGTTACCTTTTTTGACAGTCAGCTTAATCTTAGCTATTTCATTTATGTGTTCTCTCTTTTCCTCAGGATCCCAATGCCTAGCAAGTCAGCAAGTTTCCCCAGGCTTGCAAACCCTAAGAGGTCCAATAAGCCGTCCCATCCCTCTGAGTTTGGTCACAGATAGTGCCCCTCACACTCCGCATAAATTGGCCAATAACGTCATATCTGCGCCTATGCACGTTTCTACTGCTAACGTTTATGTTCATAGCGACGCTGACTCGATTAATCAACTAGGTACACATGACGATACATTGTCATTTACCCATGCCATCAGTCATGCCATTCAAACCATTGTTGACAATTTGTATTCATTTGTATGCAACACTTTCATGCGTCAAGCACATACTAATTTCTCTCACAATAAACCCCATTCTTCTGTGACCGTGCACAAAGACTCTACTGCACTACAGAAAAATTCTCCAGACGTTTCTAAACTGGATTCTTTTTTGACGTCATACATAAAAGACCCGACTCTAGAATACCCCGAGTTGCTTATGCGCACGTCCAGCTTATGTAAAGATTCGAAGATTTGCCCATACCTCCACAAACCAGGTCGCATATATTTAGGCACTTATATATTATCTTTAAATCAGGAGCTTTTTTGTAATCGTTAAAAAAATGTAATCTTTCGCTTTCATTTTTTTCGATAAGGAGGAGTAGACTGTAATAGGAATATTCTCCTTTTCAGTATTAACCTCGTTATCATGTTACTTATGACGCACTTAACTGAAGGATATATATTTCAGCACGTAGCTAGTTATAGGACTTTTGATTTCGATGATGAAGCAGAAAACATAAACGAAGTTCGTTTCTCTTCGTCTCACTTCTTCGATAAAGATCCCGCTACAGGGGGGGGGGGGGGGGGGGGTTGAAGCAATAGCCAAAAGACAAACGAAATCTAGTGGAGACGGCGGTAAAAGCGATCCTGCAACCTGCTTTGGGTGCAGAAATATCAATGCAAGAAAAAACTTGGTTGACGGGAGCTGCGAGTGTGACTAAATAATAATTTCACTGAACTTGATTACTTTATTTTAACAGAGGTTGAGATACTAGGGATTCATCCACAAAACTTCATCCATCCCCCACCCAAGTCAAAATTGTTTTCAAAAGAAGATAATGCGCCAGTTGATATTCCTATAACAACTAAACAGCATTTTCTTCGACTAAGAAATCAAGTTCTTTGACTAAGAGCTAAGAGCCTATTTCGTAGATCCAGATTCTCTAACAGCCTTAAAGGTAATTCCCGAAACCCTTCACACCCGGTGAAAATGGCATATAATCCGCACAAGTACGACTTTCAGCCGGCCTTTACGATTTAATATTTAATACAGTTAACGTGTTTGAAATATGGAAAAACAATCATAGAATGCTACATTGATAACGAATAACTTGCAGTTCCGTTTAGGGCATCATAGGCATTTCAGCGAATTAGGCCATACAGACGAAGCAGTTTGGACAAAGACGCCTCAATCTGAAATGAAATTCTAGTTTTACGATACCTGATCCCATTTAGATTGTAGCAATAGCAATGTTTTTAATCAAAACTCCATATCAGTTTGTACTTCCAGTCTGTTCTTTGTTCATAATATCGTCACTGTTGAGCCATGGGCGACTGTCTACCCAAGCGGCAGCGCTGATCGGTAGCAAAAACTCAGACTGCTGAAATTTTCCATTTGTTTAGAAATCAGTGTAATAAAACTCGGATTCAGAGTCCCAAACCATTGAGAAAGTCAATCATGTGTCAAAAATGCAAAATTAGCTCCTTTCACATGCACAAAATAATCAAATGTCCGCAGCATTTTCTTAAAGGTTTCTATAGAAAAACACAATACGTGCTGAGAACATGTCACTTGTGACGTCAAAGATGAGCGCCCTCTCGTGACGATTTTCGCCTCGAATCTCATGTTGTCGGAACAATTGTCGTTTCTCAACTTATAACGCTTGTATTTCAAAAACGGTAACTGTGATTAAAAAAATTTTTTCGATCCCGGAATTTGCTTGTCACAAACTACCGTTTTAGCAAAACTTATTTTTGCGTGTCAGTTTAACGCTAAAGCATAGGTGAAGCTAGTAAATAATCCCTTGCTCTGTGATGAACATTGGAGCAAAGGTCTACAATCTTTTTTGTGCTTCTTCGTCTACCTTTTGATTCTTCTATGTCACCCATATAAAGGAACAGTGCAATCAAACATAGTAATCGAATTTTCTAAAGAAACTCAAAGCTAGAACACCTGTGAAGGTTCACAAATCTTTATCACATCCGTTAAACTATGTCACCACCCGACTGACATTATAGACCGAGTTTCGCATAACCATCTAGTAACCATTTATTACATCTAGCAACATAGTCCATTTATGATTTTTGATATCAAGATAGATATCTCATCTAAGACAATTGATGATACAAGAGGTCGACCGATTACACTTTTGATAAGTTGTTCATGATAACAACATGATTGTAGTTGAGATGTTCATTTTATGCATTTGATCTTGTTCTCGTCATTGCGAAATATGTTTGAAAATAACTTTTGTTTGGAAGAATCCAATGGAACGTTCAGCTAATCTTTACGGAATTGACATTAAATAGTCAATTCACAATTTTGATTTTGGTCATTTATTGTTCGTTTGATCATTTAGTACTGGTTAATAATTTATCAGCTATTTTATGTCCAAATTTTGCAAAAAGGGCACTGAGAGGTTATAGAGGGCCCTGTGGTAAAAAGGGAAAATGCAGATCACCCGCGAGCGAAGCGAGCAGAAAATTTGGCAATTACGCCCCTTAGATTAGCTTAAAATTCCTTTTTAGTACGATTTCTTGGAGTAATTTCGACACGTTAAGCGGTTGACAATTATCCGACGAAAGCCTGAATTTTCCGACGACGTTGCTGATTGGGGGGGGGCGAGCCCCCCAAACCCCCATATATTCCGCCACTGGAGAAAAATGCCAAGCTTCCAGGTGAATGGGGTTGGAGATACTGGCGATAGTTACGAAGTTTTGTGGATGATTTCCAGAGGCAGCCAAGATTTATTAGGAGCTGATCCGCTGCAGGTTTAATAAGGGTAAAGGGGTGCAAAGGTTTATGCAAATGCGTGAAAGCGTCCCTGAAGTGTACAGTGTTGTGTAAATTTAGCGGGATTTTGAATGTTAAAATTTTACAATATCCTTACAATTCATACAATATCTTTTTAAGAATTCTCGAATTAAAAACAAAAAAATTATTACGACCAATTTTGCTTATTAAAAAAGCACTTTTGATTCATAAAAGTTTATAAATAAGAAGGGTTTTAGTTTATCGATAAAAAAAAGCGGTGTTCAAATTTTAGGGAGCTCCAGTTCTGATAAATTTCTGATAAATTTCTGATAAATTTCTGATAAACTCCAGCATACGAAAATACAGGAAATAAAAAGTGTCTGTTCAGGCCTGCTAGTTAGAAATGTTTAACACGATTTCTCAAGAATTCTACAAATCTCAAACCAAGGGTCGTCAGCTACTCCTGGCTACCAGAGCACTGGAAGCAAACAAATTGGATATTTTCGCTGCATGATACAGTTGTTTCTTGTTTTGTTTTTGTTTTTGTTGTTAATTTTTTTAGCCAAAAAAGAGAAGTGAAACCATGGTTTTCACCCCCTTTTGAGAAATTTTTCACCATTCAACAATCCAGTTGTAGTGTTTTCAGCTTCAGTTTTTATGATCTTTTTAATGATGTGTATGCAAAAAGGTATTTGACAAAAAATGTTTGGTGGATTCAAAGGCCAACATTTTTCTTTGTTGAAAAAACTTACTTTGTTCAAAATTTCATGATTTTTCCCCTAACAGCACAAGACTTTTGATATTTTGCACCAGCTCCCCTCACTTTGAATCCAATATGAAATGAATCCGATATGAAATGAATACGGTATCGTGTCAGAGCTTCCACACGATAGAAAATTCCCCTACAGTTTGGAAAAATTGAGCTGTGTAGGGATTGGGGAAGACCTCGCAGGAATAGGGGAAAATTTCGTAATATTTAGGGGAAATGAACTCATTCGATACTTTTGTTGCGATGAAATCAATACATCAAGTGTCATTGTTTGAGTAATTGCGCACAGACAGCAGCAGGAACCCTTGCAACACACACGCCCCAATTGAAGGAAGACTCAAGTCTTCAGGAAATTGATCGTCAGTGGCGAATGTTATTCATTGACGATGTTGTAAAGAATGGTGGCCTGAGGAAAAAACCTTAATGATTTTTGAAAGGCCGTGAAATAGATTCATAAATACGAAAATCTGGCGCTTTTCATGCAAAACATTGTGAATATAGCTTAATATTCCTATCATATTGTGTCAGATGTGATCTAAATGATTTGACCTGTGTTCAAAAACCGATCAAAAAATTGAAAAACCTGTGTATACCTCTCACAGTAACTTCCATGATACATAATGCTCGATTGCCATAAAGATCTGTAGCATTCATCGTCACTAGATTTCGAGAGTCAGACATGAATGTTGTTCCGTTTGGAGGGTTGAAGACGATACTTGCAATACGAGTATTATCTTTGGCATACCCACTTCCCCAATAGGCGATAACCGGCAAGTCGCTTGATATGATCACGTTCTTTGGACATTCAATTACTGGTGCTTCTTTATCTATTGGAAAATGAATTATTGAAAAGTTACTTTCTGCATAATTCAACCTTTTTGATAGCTAATACTGTAAATCATCGAATAAGCGCTCCTCTCGAAAAAGTATCCCCTTGAATAAACGCCCACACTATCAGGAAAATTATCAAATAAGCGCCCCCTTGAATAAGCGCCCACCACCTCCACCTTAAGAAACGGGCTTTAATTGGAAATTTTAGCCAAACGAGTTTCTGAGACGTAAGTGTTTGTCTTACAGGAACAAGGAAGGCAGTTAGCCAAAAAAGAGTAAAAATAAACAACAAATTTCTTTCTAGCTTTCATTCTTGTCAGTCTTTATTTTCATTTCTTCATAGCAAGGAAATGTTTTAACACACACTTTATTTCCACTATTATCTTTTTAATTTTCGAAATCCCTCATTTACATTTTTGCCTCTGCTTGAATTGCTTTGACGTCCACAAGCTTTTCGCAACAACATGAAAGGAAATTCGTAACCAAAGAATCACTTAAACCATCTGAAAAGATTGGCAGTTTACCTTCAACTGTTATTGTAAAAGTGCAATTGGCAGTATTTCCTTCTGCATCTTCCGCATGATAAGTGATTGAAGTAACTCCAGGTCCTAACTGGAGAGGGGGCATCGAAATTGGCGTTGCTGTCACATTCGGTGGTATTCCACTGTTGTCTGTTGCTGTTGGCACAGTCCAAGAATAGTACATGGTTGCTTCTCCTTTAGGTAAAGCCACGACGGTGCTGGGGGGGCATGTGTTTCCAAAGGAGGGAGGCTGAGATTCTAAACAAGAAGAATCAATATGCATTATAATATACTGCACATCATGATTGAAAACAAAAACTGTTGTTATTTAATAGTAGTTGCTCTTTGCAAAAAAGATTAATCAAATACGCTTTTTTTTGTAAAAAAATTTTTTAACAACACGAGCCTTGAAATTAGTGGAAAGTTAAAAACAAATTGAGAACAACCTGAGGCTGAGCTACTTTAAAAGTGTAACTTTGAACAATGTTTCTTCTCAAATACGACGAGCTTTTTGCCATATACCGTTGCCTTTTAGTAATGCCTTTTGTCTGCAAATATAGGATAGCCCATTCACTTTGTTGGCAAACGAGGCCTGAACACCTCCCTGGAGTGCAATACTGGCAATTGCACTGCTTCCGCCTTAATTTTAAACATTAAAAACAGCCAGCTTGAACTTCAATTTACCAGTTCTTACCATAGAAAAGTTTATAGCTGTAAAATCTGAAAAAGTTGTATGCACTGTCATTAAAAATCAGTACTCTACAAAGAAGTTTTATTGAATGTATTGGTATGTAGAGTAGTGTTTTAACAAAATAGTTTTGCTGGGAGTTTACCTTGGAACATTTTAGAGGCTGGCTCGCAAAGCCCCAGCCAATAGCTCTCTAAATTTGACTATTTAACGCTCGACGTTTAGCTGCCAACTCGAGCAACTATACGCAAAACATTCTAGATAGTCCACTCAACGTCAAATTTTGCAAATTTTGCAACGACAAATTAATCAAAATATATAATAAAATTTTCTGTCATAAAAAAAACAAAAACTCCAACTTTTTGCCCAATAAAAATTTTTTCTAAGCCATTACTTTGTTTGAATTTTGATTTCATAATTTTCTCTGCTTTCAGTGTCGATAGTGTTATAGAGGGTACCTAAATCCAGAATAGCTACGAATAGAGAATTTCAGTGTTATGCGTTTCTGCATGGGGCATCTAAAATCAAAACACCATCGAATTTCATCGCAAATGACTGTTTACTAACAAGAAATGATTGCAACAATCTGATATAGGTCAAACTTTTCCATGCAAGTAGCATTTTTGAATTTTTTATCATTTTTTGTAGTTTGTCTTATGCCCTGCAGAAACGCATAGAGAATTTCAGTGTTATGCGTTTCTGCATGGGGCATCTAAAATCAAAACACCATCGAATTTCATCGCAAATGTCTGTTTACTAACAAGAAATGATTGCAACAATTTGATATAGGTCAAACTTTTCCATGCAAGTAGCATTTTTGAATTTTTTATCATTTTTTGTAGTTTGCCTTAGGCCCATGCAGAAACGCATATAGAATTTCAGTGTTATGCGTTTCTGGATGGGGCATCTAAAATCAAAACGACACTGAATTTCATCGCAAAAGCATGTTAACTAACAAGAAGTGATTGTGAGAATATGATCTAGGTCCAGCTTTTCCATGCAAGAAGCACTTCTTAATTTTTATCATTTTTTGTAGTTTGCCTTAGGCCCATGCAGAAACGCATAGAGAATTTCAGTGTCATGCGTTTCTGCATGGGGCATATAACGAGAGGAACGGATGTCTAAATGCAAAACACCATCGACGATCATGGTGAAAAAAAATATTAATAACAGAGGTTGGATTAATTAGGCCGACTCGATTTAAGTTACGACACAAGTTGCCTTTAGTATTTGAAATTTTTAGTTTTCCTTCTATTTTAAATATATGTTTTCGCAATCCTCAGCTCGCATAAAAATTTAAATTTAGTAATTTTCACCAAAAAGCAATATTGGTATTTTTATGGAAATCCCTGCTCGACCATTTTGCTTCAACCGCTACATCCCAATTATCGGTACCCCTAAACCTATTGGCAGTATTAAAAATGTTTGGAGAATTTGTTTTTGCCAGGGATGGCGCTATCGAAAAAGTTTTAATGTATTGATGTTTATGCCTTTTATTATTGCTGACGAAAGATATGCCAGTTTTTTGAAAGGAAAAATATGAATAATCGCACAAATTTAGAAAATCTTTTAGGGGCAAAGCAGCCTATCAATGCAGGCTTTTAATACATTTTGAATAGAGACTTATGAGAGGGTTAAGCAATGCAAATACCTTCTACGGAAAGAGCTTTTTGCAATTAAACATTTTAAAGTCTAGGAAGCATCTCTTCCTGTTCTTTCTAAGGACACTTGCAAGACTTGATGGGGATAATGTCGATGGGGTATTAAAATAAGGGGCCCACGGGACTTGACCTTGGAAAAATTATAAAAACCATGCCCTTTCAAACACTAAACGTTGTATGTCTTGATGTTTCTTAACGGTTTAGACTCAAAGATTATTGATGTTTCTGCTGGTCTAAATTGTGTTTGAATTGGTAAAATTTTCTGTTCCCTTTTCGGTTTTTGATGATAATAAGATTCTGAAAGAGGAAAACTTGAATGACTTAAAAGTGCTTTTCATGAGGGTTTTCTGTTAAATTTACTATTAAAATTCATTAAGAGTTACAGAGAATTTCAGTTCAAATTAGTTACCATATTGTTAAGCCCCACTTGAGGCTTACCGCTGAATTATGTACATGATTTTAGCCAGTGATAAATCATGTATTAAAAAAAATCTGTTTTGATGATATTATTATTGTTTTAAAGTCGATGTTTGTAAAACATCTAGTCATGCTTTTACTCGTATTTCAATTTTGATGGAGCCTGAGAAACTAAAATCGTTGATGTCCCAGATTGGCTATTGCCTGCTGATTTGGGTGTTTCGAGAAAGAAATTTGAACTATAAGATAAACTGAATTTAAGAGAAAGGCCTATAATAGTATATATTTATGATTCCATAAATATACTAAAATGCGTGCGGTACAATATGATGAATTTAATTAACGATCAATGTAAGTAAATTGTACCAGGAAAATTAATATTTAAAATAATTAACGACGTTTCGAGCATAGCCCGTTATCAAGTAAGATAGAAAAGCGATGATAGAACTAAAAAACGTTAAAAGAATATGGAATTCGACCAATAGAATAGGAAGACGGATGTAAGAGCATGGAAAAGAAATATATAGAAAAAGCTAGTAAAAATAAATATATACATACATATACGCAAATACAGAATTTATGCATATGTATATATATATATATATAATTTCCTGGTACAATTTACTTACATTGATCGTTATTTATAAATTTATGATGCTTTTAGCTTTGAAAAATTATTTAAACTGATAGCTCTTTAAGCGTTCATCAGTTGACCCTGAATTTGCTTTTGGTAGAGGTCTACAAATCAATATCACATCTATGTATGTTCTAGCTTCATGAAGCTAGCTTTGGTGGAAAAAATTCCTTACAATCTAACGTCTCTTGATGAACTACAATTGTCAACTTGCCTTGGAATCAATATCAAACGATCATTTTTATAGGAAAAAGTACGAGAAACACTATGACCAGAGTTGAAAAACTCAGACTCCCTTTAGATATTCAAAATATATATTTATAAAAGCTCATAAATGCAAAGCTTGCAACAGTAGATAAAGATATTTTATTCAAATTTTGGTTTGTTTATTGTAACAAGTATTTCACTAATTTATGTTTTTAATAGTAAATTTTATATTTTTTCGTAAGTTATTGGTAAGCATTTTCAGCCTTATTCATTTGCGAACCTTAAAATATTACTGAAAATAGAGCTGTGGAGGATGTAAATCAACTACTACTGGTTTACTTTTTATCAAAATGGTAGGAATTCTATACCATCTGTCAGGGGCGGCTGGGAGTAAATTTTTTTTGGTATTACTTTTTCAAACGTATGGAAGATGCATGAAAAAGGAAAATTAACAATTTCTTTATGAAGGAATTTTGAACCTCCTCAGCTGGAGGGGTATAGGGGTTTTACAACACTCCCCCCCCCCAAATTTGGCCTAGCCATACGTTGGGGAAATATGCATATCTTCAATTGACTCTAAACAACAAACAAAAAGTCACTAAAAGACATAAATTGGTCGGGTATACACATTTTTGTAAGCAACTAAGAATCTGAGCGAATGCTGAAAGTTTTAAGTTAATTGGCAATTTTAGTGCTGTATCTTCTAGAAAATAAATGCAGATACTTCCTTGCTCGCATATCAAAAAGAAATCTATGAAGAGCCTGATTTCCTGTTGGTCTTTTTAAACAAACTGGAGGGCTGTAACATTTGTCAGAAGGGCTTGCGAGCGGTGATTAGCCGTGAAAAATATTTGGCGGCCACTTCCTCTGAGCCACCATGTGGGCCCGTTATTAGAATCGCGATTGTAATAACGGAAACCGCTGCGTGAAAGCCCTCTGAACACATTCAAGGTTCAGTTCAGTTCATCATTCATTTTAAATGACTTTACATAAGCAACTTGCAACATTTTGAATAGCTACAGTTTACAAATGTACAAATAAATTTGAAAGGATGCAGGCTAAAAATTTATTATAGAAAAATACATGACGAGATATATCTGGCAAGGCCTTTCAGTTCGAGACGTTGCTAGCGAGTTAATTCCACCCGTTTCAAAATAATAACACTTTGAACACCCAGACGATGGTCATTCACTTGATCTTCCACAACACGATTCATTTTGAAACAGCTAACTTACAAGCAAAATTATAAAACAGCACTGGCAAAAGGTAAATGGCCGCGTTATTAGAATCCCAGAAGTAATAACAGGGCTGCTAGGCTCCTTTATTTCAAGGACCAAGAACAATTGAATTTTACGTCATCGGTGAGTCCCGTGACAAAGACTTTGCTGTTTCCGTTATTAGAAACGCGAAAGTAATAATGAGACCGGGAGCCTCGAACTAGTTTGAACGATTTGAAATACCATTGAAAAACATAATAGGCTTCCTGTGGTTAAGGATTAGCAGGTAATTATCATCCCCTTCAGATGAATAGAGGACAGATACCATATTATTTCTACGTCATTGGTTGTGTCTAGCAGACGAATGCATCAAACTGATAAATTGTTGGGGAGATGAGATCTCACTCCTATTGTTTGAGACAAAAGGCTTAATG